GTTTTTGTGTTTTTTTTAAAATATGTTTTTATTTAAGAGAGGAAGGGAAAGGGAGAGAGAGAAACATCGATGGGAGAGAAACATCATGGATGGGCTGTCTCTTGCATGCCCCCTACTGGGGATCGAGCCCACAACCCGGGCATGTGCCCTGACTGGGAATCAACTGGTGACCGACCTCTTGGTTCCTGGGACGCTCAACCATTGAGCCACACCACTGGGCAACAGGAGGTTTTTTTTTTTAAGTCAGGAGTAAAGAATACAGAGAGGTTCTATTCCCAGGGCCTCAGGATGCTGGGAGACATAGCAGACAGCCACAAATCCAAGCCCAGAACAACCTATGCTGCACTCAAAACTGAGAAGGGGGCCCCACCAAACTCAATGGCCAATGAACCTCCAATTTCAAATGCATTTGATCATGTTATAAATCTGCTGTTTGGCTACGCAAACAGACTTTGCTATTCTCACTCTTTCAACAAACACTTCCTGAGCAAGGTGAACTGTGCTGGCATCGAGAACCCAGAGATAGTGTGAATGTGTGTAGGTGTGGTCCCCACCCTAAAGGAGCTCAGTTTACTGAACATAACAGATAGTAAGTAAATCAACAGCTATGCAGATAAGTGCTCTTGGAGAGAGAAATGCAGGGTGCTCTGGGAGCCAGGAGGAAGGTCATCTCCAGGTCACAGCGAAGTGCAGGGTGGGGAAGGAAGGTGTCCAGGAGAATGGAAACTTGAGTGAGTTACCAAAATGGGGAGCAGGGGTGGGTCATTCCCAGAAGAGGGCCCTGCACTGGCAAAGGCACCAATAGGCACTGGCTGTTGGAAGGCTGGGCTGAGGTTAGAAATATGGGTTAGGAAACAAGTGACATGAGGAAGGTGGCCAAGGGCCAGATTATGAGAAGACTGCAGGCCCGCTGACAGGGCTTAGGTTTTATTCTAGAAGCAATGAGAGGCCCTTGGAGAGTTTTAAGCAGAAGAAAGCCACGGTCAGATGTGAGAGTTAGAAGTATCTTGCTGATAGGAGCGTGGCGGTGGAATGAGAGAGGAGAAAGGTGGACACAGGAAGACCAATGAAGGGGCTGTTTAAAAGAATCCCTGTGATGAGTCCCTAAATGGAGGGGTGCAGAGGGAGAAGGCGTGAGGTGACAAATTAGAAAGATGGGCTCTTCAGGACGTGGCAATTGATGGGCGATGACAGTTGAGGGAAAGGACAAAGCCAAGGATGACTCCTACACAGACGGAACCGAGTGGGTGAGTCCCACCCAAGGCAGGCAACACACAGAGAGACACATTCGGCACCAGGGCAGGAGGAGTCCGAGGTGCCTGCTGGCAGGAGCTGGGAGGGAGGGCTGGGAGGACGCTCTGGGCTGAATGGGCAGATCCGGGAGCTCCCATGTAGAGGTAAGCAGTGGATGCGCTCACCCAGCGAGGATGCTTAGGCTGGCACGGAGGGACCAAGTGAAACCTTATCAAGCTAAGGACAGAGAAAAGAGAACTGGCAAAGCAGACTGCAGAGGCTGAGGCCTCCGAGGCTGGAGGAGAAGTGGGAGAGAGCAGGCCAGGCAAGGAGACTGAGCGGACCAAGGAGGGGAAGGGAGCGCTCAGCACAGCCAAGGACAGGAGGCCTGAAGATGGAGCCCTTGCTGCAAAGGCCAGCTGGCTGTTAACAACCACGGCCAAGCAAAAGAATTAAACCTCAGTGGTGTTATTATGACATTTTCCCCCAAGAGCCTCACTGTCTCACTTCATTTCTTGGTGAGGACTTCCTGACGAGCCGAACTAAACTGTCAGCCCTGTCACCATCCACCACTTTCTCTCGCTTTCTCTCACTTCAGAGCATCACCACGCCTGCCGGCCCTTACACTGCTGCACATCTCAGACACCGTGCTCTCTGTCTCCCCTACTAGGACGTCTGCCTAAAGAGGACAGAGCACTTGTCTGGTGTCACTTCTATAACCACAGTGCCGAGAGCATCTTGTCCCAAGTCTCCTGGCTCGTTAGAAGCAACAAACATTTAATGAGCACATACTGCATGTCTGATACCATGTAGATGCTGGGAGCACAGAGGTAAACAAGACAAAACAGGGCCCTGTCCTCGAAGCTTGAAGCTGGAGGTGAGCAGAGGGAAATACCAAGCATCGAAACAGAAAGTAGACTGTAACTGCCATAGAGCTGGGACTGGAATCCGACTGTCATGCTTCCTTTCCAAGCCCAAGGCTGCCGCCTTCTCCAACTAAAGGAAAACTTTATCTGGTGAAACAGTTAAAGTAAGCGTGAAGTTTGGTCTTAGTGTCTTCCAGAGATCCCACACTTCTTCCACCCGTTCAGTAGGTGCCTAGGAAGTAGAAACACCCACTAGAATCCCTGAATATTTAACCGGAAAGCTCAATCTGTCTCTAGTACTTCTATGTAAGTAGGAGGAGAAATTCTAGACTCAGATGGGCGACAACAGGGAGCAGCACAAACTAGGGGTCAGACAGAGCTGGGTTCAAATCCCCAGTAACCTTGGGCAGGTTACTCAACCTATGATTTGATTTCCTTATTGCTGAAATGAAAATACTACTTCCCACGTCACAGGCTGTTGCAAAGATAAAATAAAGTGACAGCTAGAAGTAGAGAGCACTCAGCACTGTACCTGTACATGGTGAGTGTTCGATAAATGGTGGCTCTAAACCAGTTATGCCCGTTGCTTTGATTACTCTATCTTTTAACTGCTATGTTCACATAAACTGAGCCAAAAACGACTTAGAATTCAAACCAAAGAAGATGCATTTAAAATAACCAGAGCATAAACTGATATCTAGCTGGATGACTTGAAGAATTATTTCAAATTACCATACTTGAGCAGACTCTGCAGTACGAAGTTTTATTCCAATTTTTTGGTCCTTTAAACTTAGGTAAATGCAAGTATTTCCCCAACAGATCACATCTTGTCTCATGGCGAGAGTCCAAACACGGGCTGGATTCCATGGTGCAAGTTGTGGCAGAACTATGCACACCACACCTCAAAGGGAGCCTAAGAACACAATGCGAGCCCAATGTACACACAAACTCCCAAACACAGCTTGGCTCCAGAGAAGGAAATGAGAACTGGTCACAGCATGCTGTGCCTGCCTCCCAGCTAAAGAACAGGTTATGTGGACATGCAAACACTGAAATCTTATGTGTCTCCCTTCTTTTACCACCCAAACTCTGTGAGTGGGCTACTTTACTAATCGTTATTTCTGTCTAACCCTGTGCAACCCAGCTTCCTTCCCACTTCTTCCTCACCCCCC